AATTGATCAGGGACTCACTTGTTGGTCTTCTTCCATTCAAGGGATTCACAACGCTCTCCTCTAGCACCATGTTTCGGATGCATCAGTTTTCTTCCCATTGGCTTTCTTCACTATCCAGCTTTTGCACCCATACATAATGATCAAAAATAGAATGATATGGAAGATCATGGCCCTGGTCTCCAGTGAATTGTCCTTATCCTTGGTCATCTTTCCTAGTTCCTTCATTGCTCTCCTGTCCTCAGCCAGCCAGCAAAATAATCAGCATCAGGTCTGTCTGCTGGCCACAGTCCTATGCCCCTTTGCAGTGTGTGCAACCATGGGAAACTCTCAGAAGGATGGTGAATTTTAAAAGGAGCCACTCCAAGGCTCCTGGTTCAAGCTGGCTTGAGACCTGGACAGGAACACGCCTCGGAAATAGTATGCCATTTCCTGGTACTGCTCAGCCTTGTTTCAGTGTTTAGGAGTCCCAGTTTGTGTACTCCGCCCCTTTGCTATTTCTTTCACTCTCATCTGGCTGTTTCTCCACTGCAGAGCTGAACCCAGTAAGCTCCATGCATGCACCAGCATTTTTGCTAACCAACACTTGCTCAAACCACCATTTGCAAACCATCATTATGAACTACAATTGGCTGCTAACAATGGTTGACCAAAATGGAGCATTCAGATGTCTTGTTAACCAGACTGTGCTCTGGAAAGGGCAGGATACGCGTGCATGGGGAGGAACGGGAGAATTGAGCCCAAGGGGTTCTCTCCTTCATCCAAGTACAGCTACAACAGGGGAGGGGAGGACAACCAATTTGAGGCTATGGAGGATGCCTTGTTGCCCTGTCCAGGAGGGTGGCTACATCCCCAATGTCGAAATAGAAGTGGCCACACCCCTTGATGCCAAAAGCTTTTCATTTGGTTTCCAGTAGGCATGTTGAGAGAATCCTGATGTGTCCACTGGGAATTGGCTTCACAGTGTTTGGGGTTTGTCTTATTTGGAAGCCGATTTGGGACAGGTGATGCTAGGATGTCCGGAGGAGATATTCCTAATGGGCAGGTATCATACAGACAAGCCCCCTGCCCATATCCCCCACATTTCTATCTGATCTGTGGTAGAAGGTGAGAGTCTGACTTCCTCCAGGGAGGAATAGTTGAAGGCTCCACTGGTTGGATAAGTGACCTTCCCTGGCCAGAGTTTGCCCTCTGGCATGTTAGGAGATGAGGCTTGCATCCTTACCAGACCTAGGCTGGACTGAGATTGTGATCTCCCAAGTATTTATAGGATATCTTTCAGCAAGAAGGAAGTAACATTTCTCATTGCAGATGCTTTTCGCTTAATAACTTCGTTAGTGTTCTTGTGACATTGATTTGTGTCTTTTCCACTTTTGGAAAGAAAGAACATTTAAAAAACATGAAGAGCTGTTGTTTAAACTTAGAAAGAATCCCAGAATCCTCCATATTTAAAAGTTGTTTAATTCTTCTAATTGAAAGGTATAATAAGTAAACAGTTCTTCTAATCCAGTGTTAAAATGAGAGAAGAAATATTTACTTGTTTCCAGTGCAAGACAATCATGTGATTTATCTCTGTGGGATTCGAGATGCTATGGGGGGGGGGTGCACGAGCGTGTGTGGAATGGCTTCAGGTCGCCCTGGATAACTAGTAACCCAGGGAATGAATTTTCCTTTTCTGTGTCTTTAAGACTGAACTTATTGATCAGGAAATGAAGAACATTTTCAGGGCCTCATGATCCCCCTGCAGTAGTATCCAAAGGAGGCAGGTAGTTTAAAAAGGAAGGGGTGACAGGTAGTTAAGAAAGAGAAAAGGGGTGTTAGATCTTGTTTGAAAGGTTACAAATGAATTAAGTTTCGTTATAAAGTGCTTAGTGAATGATTAAAGGAAAGATTGCTCCCAAGTAGTGCTTCTTGGGAATAACTTGATCTGGGTTTCTAATGCAAGCAGCGGAGGGTTTCTGGAAATGAGATGCTGGGGCAGAAAGCTATCATGGTCTGCAGTCACAGTCTGTGGAGGAGGATAACAATAGAGTTATTTGGGCTTTGTGCAACTCTAGAATTTCTGTCTCTCAGATTCCTGGTAGGATTGCTTGCAGAAATATAGGTGTGCTGCCTTGGTTTTTTTCCCCTTCAGTATTCCACAGCTGGGCTTATAGGATTCTCAACTGACTTCCCTAATTCTGTCTTTAATAGTGACATGAACTGCAGGTGGGTGCTGTTCTTTATTTCCATGCACTGCAAAGTTCCACCTGCTGCTTTTACGCAGCTGGAGTTGCTTTAAAGCAGCACAAGCCAAAACATAGTTTATTGGTCAGTGGGCAACCTTGTAAGGACTTGTAGTCACTTGGAATGCATGTAACCTCCCCTGGAAGTCACCCCCCCCCATCCCCAGTGCCAGGCATATGGAGTGTGGTAGGGAAAGCCACTCTGTACATGCTCTGTGGGATTCGTTAAGGATAAGTTCACATTTTCAAGAGCTGAGGCCTGGTACTGTAAACTCATCCAAGACAATAAAGTATCGGATGCTATTAAGCCAGTAACTCACAGGTCTTCCAAGAAGGAACCTTTGGCACCTGCCAAGATATGAATGGCAACAAAGAAAGGGTCTTCTTGGACGTACAGAAGAAGCAGCTATTCACTCTCAGAATGACTGATGGATCTTGCTGCTTGCTGTCAGTCTCCTAGAGGAGGGATATGAATGGGGGTAGAGGCAGCTCTCCATTGCTTCTCTGCATGAGTTACTCATCTCCTCCCAGGCAGGTGGGCTGCAGGTATGCAGAGGGGGTGTTTCTCTGAAGGTGTGCAATTTTCTAGGTAAACTTTAAGGCAGTGGCTTGGTGGGAAATATTGTCCCTATAGGCACAACCCAAAGAAGAGTTAAAGAAAACTAGCACCTGTGTTGGTCTGTACGAACAAACCAGTTCCAGGAATTCTCCCCTCCACCTGGAGCAGGTCTTTTGTAAAACTAATAGGTCCTGAATTATCCATTCAAGACCACAGCATCATCTGCATTACAACAGGGAACAATCTATGATTATTGTTCCCTGCCTCCTACTGTGGGGATTAGGCTAAACTTGGAGGGAACTGGGAACTGTGAGGGGGAAGCAGATAAACTTCAACAGCTGTGCTAATCAAAAAGGTGCCAGTTGTGCACCCCTGGGAGCCCTCCCAGCCGTACCCCCCTGCTTTTGGCAGGATTAGAGTGACGTAAGCCGCTAGTCCTTAATATGGTGTATCTAATATGGTGCGTCTATGAGGCCGTTTTGTCTAAATAATACACTCCCCTTTGCTTATTATAAATTTTGCCGTTTTTATTCTCCGCATTTTTTTCCTGCTTTTCAGATGGAGCAAGCGCCATTCAACTCCATGGGACCAGCTTCTGAGCAGGTATGTGTAGCACTGCATGGCATAGACACTTCGGAGGTTGTGGCAGAATGTCTTTGGATTTTTTTTTTTACCCTAAAAGATGGTCTAGAAAATGAAATGGCTCTGATTTTCATGACTATGCCACATTGTGCAGTTGTAGAGGCTGAGTTATAAATGATGCGTTGCATGTTAAACTGTAAAATATGCTCAGTGTTGGTAAATATTGTGTATCTACATTTTCCCCAAATTTATTTCTTTTACGGGGGAGAATGTTACTTGCCCCTCCCTTTCTGCTCCCCCTATGGATCTGGATAGGTTCTTCCACTGCCAGGTAAGCTGGTATTTATATCTTCTCAAATGTATACAGAATTTTCCTATAACGGCTGCAGCCACTGGCATAAACCTAATCCATCAGCATGCTAGCTGTGCTGGAACTTTTTCTAGCTCCCTCGCGTTCTGGGGGTACACCTTTCCCTTTCCAGATCTTGCAGCCACCGCGAGAGACAGTCCCTGAAATTGCTTCGAAATTAATCCACCGGGGACTGAGCAGTTCCTTTAAGCTCTTGGGCACAACTTCAGTGTGCCTTACTTCTGAGTAAACCCATACAGAATCGACCGGCACAGCTGGAAATCTTTGATCCGGCAGCTGTTTGCTGTGTTGTGCTTATTAAAACTTATTAAAACGACAGAAACAATAACAAAAGCCTCGCAGAGCGCTCCCCCCCCCCACACCCCCGGAAAGTTTGCGCTAGGTAAAGCAGGGAGGGGGGCAGAACCAACCGAAAAAGCAACCCTTTGCTGAACGCCGAGCGCCAGCCTGCCACGGGCTTTAAAACCAAGGAAGGAACGGCAGAGGTTGCATTTGGAGAGACTGATCCTGCGAGGGGGGGGGGGATCAAAGTGGGTCAGAAGGAAAGGGGGGAAGGAGCAGGATGGAGAGATGGCTAAAACTTTAATGGAGAGATGTAAGAGGAATGCAGCCACGGCGGCCGCCCAGACGCTCCAACGGAGGGGGAGGCTCGGGGGGGCCCGGGCGCGCAGCAGCCTCCGCGGCCACCCCGGCGTGCGCCCGGCCGCCCGTGCGCCTCCGCGCCGCCGCCGCCCGCCGCGCCCCCTCCCGCCCTCGCCCCGGAGGCGGCTCAGGCTGGGCGACTCCAATCCGGTGCCGCGCTCGATCCGCCGCCTCCGCCCTCGCCGCCGGTCCGCGTTTTGCGTGCGATCGGAGCTGTATTTCCAGGGCTGTCCATGGCTCGGTGCTGTTGGCTCTCTCTCCGTCTGATCAGCCCAGGCTGCGCGGGGCTCCCTACGGGATCAGAGCGCTCCCCCGCCGGGACTCCACTCCTCACATCCTCCTGCTGGGACTCAGCTACATTTCCAGCCAAGCCTGGCTTTATTATGTGTGTCTGCACTGCAGCCCTAGCAGCAAGATCAGGAGGAGGAAAAAGAGCCAGGACAAAGAAAAGAGAGGGAGGCTGGCGAGCGCTAAAGAAAATAAAAACGCGAGGCGGCAGCAGCGGCGGCGGCGGCGGCGGCGGCGGCTGGAGCAGCGATGAAGGCAGCCGGGTCAGGGCCGTCTCGCCGCGATTAACACATGGAGGCAGCTAGCGAGCCCTACGTCCGTGCAAAGAAACGTTTACCTTGTTTTCAGAAGTGCGTTTGTGCGGGAGGAGGCGGAGGAGGAGGAGGCGGCGGCGGAGAGGAAGGACGCCAGCCCGGACCGGCTGCGAGGCGCGAGGGAGGACGCGGCTCGCCAGCTCCTCGGAGCTTGTGAAGAGCCCCACAAAAGAGAGGGCGAGAGAGGAGGAAAGCGGGGTGGCGGGAGGAGGAAGATTCAGGAGGACTGCCCCGTACTCCATGATTATCGAGAGGATCATGGCTTTTTAAGGGGAAAACATCCTTCCCGTATATTGTCGTTGGCCCCGGTTTGGAAACGCAGGGACCCTTATTGCGAAGGAAATCGGATTTTTTTGAAAAAAGAGGGAGAAGGAAACGGGGGCGCAGTTCGAGCCAGGGGGGCATTGTGAGGGTTTTATGCAACCAGGTTGCTTTACCGGTAATTAAAAACAAAATCAAAATCAAAAGCCCTCTCCAGGCGCCCCCCCCCCCCGCTCCCGCCACCCTTTCGCATCTTTAGGCATGATCTCGCTTGTTTTGCAAATGGGGTGGGTTGTTTTAAAAGTGTGAACGGCGCGAAAGGAAAAGAGAAAGTTTAAATGAAAGCACACAAGGAGCGGGGCAAAAAGCACAAGAAGCTTGGATAGTGGGTTTAAATTGTATTTATTGATTTGCACAACGTCTGTGTGTGTGTGAGAGAAAGAGAGAGAGGAGACCCCAAATTGCAATTGATAAAGGGGCCGGAAAAAGGGGAAAGGGTTTGCTAGAGGCGAGGTCAAGATCTCTGGGCGTCCAAAGTGGGTGTTTAAAAAAAAATAGACTTGGAAGTTGCCGCATTGCAACAGGCAAAGAAGTGAGAAATCAAATAATCGATTCGCGTGCTGCTGTTTCTGCTGCCGCCGCCGCCGCCGCTTCGCCAGCAAAGTTTCCAAGTGGGAGAAGGAAGAGGAGGGGGAAAACAAGAGAGGAAAAGGAGGAAGGGGGGAAGAAGAGAGGAAGAGGAGGAGAGAGAGGAGGAGGAGGGAAGGAAGGAAAAAAGCGAAGAATATCAGAGCTGGAAATGTCCAGAAGGAAGCAAGCCAAGCCGCGCTCGGTGAAAGGTAAGCTGCTGGCCGGGTGACGGAGCTGCGCGCGGGGCGGGCGGGCGTGCGCGCGCGCGCCCCCCTCTCTCCCTCTCCGGAGCTGCGCCGCTTTCGCCGTCGGATCCGCTCGCGCCGCCGGCTCCGGAACGCGGCGGCACAAGCGCCAGCCAGCCGGCCAGCCTCTGCCGCGTGACCAATCAGGGGCTGGGGCCAACCTTGGCGGGGATTGCGATTTCGCAGAGCCTTCCTCCCCATCCCTCCCCACCCCACCCCACCCCACCCCCTCCCCGCGCTTCCTTCCCCGGGCCAGCCCGTGCACCGCGGAGCAGAGGCGGCCGCTTTCTGTCTGCCGCTTCTGGGGGTTTCCACTTCTGCTCCAAGGAGGGGGAACTTCTGGTGCCGTCCTGGGCTGCCATTGCCAGCGGCTTGCCTGCGGGAGCGAGCTCCAGCTTTCCAGGCACTGCAGGCGAGAAGAAAGGCCTCTCTGCGCGTTGAGGAATTAGTTCCACAGAGGGTGTTCTGGATACGGGCGCAGGCTGCCGGGCGAAACCCCAGGGAGCTGCCTCGCCGAATTCTCTGGGGTTGCCTTCACCCAGTCTCGGCATTGCCCCGTGCAGAAAGACTTGTGGTTCTAGCGGAGATGCGCGGCCTTGCACAGAATGATCGCCAGTGTTGCGAACTTCTGGTCAGGTGCACAGAGCCGGATGCAGCGACGCAGCCAGATCTTGAGTGTGGCTCACCATGCGGGACTGAGAGGCGTCAGCCAAGAGTCAGGTGTAAATATAACCCAGGGAAAGAGTCGCATAGCCCCGTGGTGTAGCATAAATCCCGTGGTTTCAGTGGAGGGTTCCCAGTTTGGTCACAACAGTAAAGGAAACATTGACTGTTTTGTTTTGCTTTGTTAAGACAAACGAACAAAGTCTAGGGTTCTAGTTCTCATGGTTGCTGGGGTTTCTGCCATTCCTTCTGGCTCTTGACCCTTGCTTGCTTCATTTGCTGTGACCGCTACCTGTTAAAATCACTTTCCAAGCTATGAAGCTTGGAGTTTTGCCAGAGGGCAGCACAAAAATGGCTGGATCCTGGTATCCTGAGGTCCTCTAAGTGGAAGCCGTGCATACAGGTGTTCGAAGTCTTGCTCAAAGCCCTTTCTCCATTGCAAAAACCCCTCTGCACCGGAAGATGGTCCACCAGGAGCCCTGGAAAGGTATCTTCTGAATCTGCCCTATTGTCTAAGACAGATCTCCTAGGGGCTGTGGCCAAGGTTGAAAGAATTCTTGGACATGGGGATCTTGCATCGTGGAAAAGTATCTGGAGATGACACGCATTGACAGCAAATGCTCTGAGTACAGGAGGTGCTGGATTCAGCACTAGCCTCTCCAAGTAGGGCAGGAAAAGACTCCATGCTGGAAAGTGGCTGCCAGTCAGTGTAGGCGATACTGAACCAGCCAGTATGATTTTGTATAAGATCCTCTTTCTATATACCTGCATATGGACTCTGTTCTCACCTTAGTAGAGAGGCATCTTGTCCCTTTCCAGGGGATGTGGCATTGTATGGACAACTCCAAGCGGCTAAAAGCAACACAAACAAAACCTCTGAATAGTACGCTAGATCCATTTAGACTTTCTGTGCAAATTCCTTACTAAAGATTTGTAGACCTGCAATCGCTGCAAGGTGCTTGCTTAAGAGAAGTTTACGGTGACTGCATCACCAGTGAACATGGTACTCTAAAGGCTTGTAAAATGGTTAAAATTCCACATGGGAGACAACAGAGAGGGAAGGAAATAGAGCTTTTGTAAACAAGAAGAACGCTCATTTATTTCCATTAAGCATAGTTACATTTATAGCGTTTTACTGACTAGCAAGCTAGGTGGCAAACTCTGGACTATCTTTACTCAAGGGGAATGGTATGATCCTTCAGGGACCTCTCCTGTAAACCAGGCTGTGCGCATCCATGAATCCGTGAGCTTAGGAGCTCATTGTGGGACTTGATTTTATACCTTCGGGGTTTGCAGCTGGGCTGTATTTCATACTCCAGAACACTGCCATAGACTTCCATGAAACTTTACAGGAACTCCCCAGGACTGGTTGCACTTCTGGTAAACTGCCTCTTGCATGCCAGTGCCCAACTTTCTCCAGGATAGCTCTTGGTGTGACCCTTTTCTGCAGAGTAAGCGGTTTGTTTTGTGAATGAGGCATGCAATCCAGAATATTTTAAAAGATGACATTCCTATAGAGTAAACCCTTGTTTTGCAGCTACAAATGCAAGAACGTACACTTTGTGGATTTCGGTGGGTTTTTATGAGGGATACTGGGTGAAAGCGTTGTAGTACTGAACCCTATTCAGGAGTATAGCTCCATGAAACTGGCAGTGGGAGCTGCTCAACCTGAACACTGGAGTGTTTTGGTTTTAAGGCACAGTTGTACTTCTTGTTTGCTTCAGAGCCACTTTTCAGTCACTCCATGGTTGCGTTCTTAATTAGGACTCAGCCTGCAAGTTCTGAAAGTTTAACTCGAGTTGGGACAGCAAGAGTTCAGTGCATCTTGGAGAAATTCTTCCAAGGTAGCAGCAGCAGCATGGTGGATGACTGAGCTGCCCAGTTTTTGATCACGTATTTGGACATTTTTCTTTCTCTCCACCCCCACTCCAATTCTCCTGAAAAATTTTCCTTCATGCCACCTTGACAAGACATTGGAGCTTGCAGGAGGATGACCCCCCCCCCCACATCAACCAGATGAGTAGTTGTTGCTGCTTGTAGAAAGTTAAGACATTGCTTTCCCAAACAAACACCTCTAAATTCTCTCCCCTCTCTGGAATTCACTAGCAGTTATATCCCCCCCCCCCCAACAAAAGTTACATCCTCTTTCAACAAAAGCGGTCTTATACCAAAGCAAAGCATTGTCCCCAGGGGCAGCCTTGTGACATTCTGTTGGCAGCTAATGCCAAATGATTTTTATGTAGGCAGGAGAGTAGAATAACTGCTCTTTCTTCTTCTCCTCACTGCCACCATAAGGTTTTATTTCTTGCCATGGACAGGTTAATGCAGTTTGTGATGGGGAAACGATTTGATTTCCCACCTCTTCTGTCTTTTCCCCCAAAGCCTCCACCCCACTTCCTTTTGTTTTCCAGCCTTTTCCTTGCAAAGATTCAGGCAGAATCGCTGTGCAACTTTTATTCATAAATGGTTTCCAACTTGTCGGACTTGACAAAAAGGATTTGGTTATTGGCAGCGGTGGGTGGGGGCGATTCCCCACAGTTTGCCTGTATAGCATTGTGTTTGCATCTGTGTGGGGAGTCCAGCGACTTCCTCCATGTGGCGAAGGTGCTTGCACTGTGTTTTTCCCCATCATCCATTTTAAAGACTTGTGTGCCCTTGGCAGAGAGGAGCTGATTGTGTGTGTGTCTCCGGCCACTTGGTGCAGTAAATATGCACCCTGCAAAAGAGGATTGTTTTGCTTTTTGTCCTCCGTATTCCACCTTAGCGTGTGTGTAGCAGAGGTATGCCGGCCTTTCCCTCTTTCTCTCCCATGCACATTTTGAGAAAGGAGGTAACCTTGCACTCAGGGGTGTCAGATTTGTCGTTCTATTTCTGTAATGGCTGCTGGACTGTGCCACTTTCTTGCTGAATGCACACTGAAGGAGGAAACAGGGAGAAGATAATGTTGCAGTTTGCTTCTCCTCATCCACAAAAAACTGTGTGCGCGCGCAGGGAATATGTTTGCCCAGACAATTTGGGAATTTGCATGAATAGCACAAATCTGTATTTTTCTTTCTTGTTGGATGTATCTATGAATCACCCACTATCTATCGCTGATTGTTTGGAATGGGAAAGTTGCTTCCAGGCTCAGCAAAACTGAAATGAAAAGGTGGGTAGGTAATCTTGAATTGCCTTCCCGTTACATTCTAATTACACATTGAAAATAATGTGAGTACATTTTAAGTGACTGAATGTCGTACGCAGCTCCTGATGTTCCACGAAATTACTTAAAACATAACAGTGTGCGTAGATCACAGGAGAGGCACATCTGTGCTGTGACACCACCTTAATAGGACAGCTCTGTACACGTTTACTAATAAGTAAGTCCGATTGTGTTACTTGGAGCTTAGTGTGTAATATTGCAGGTGTAGTGAATCAAAGAAGCCGCAACATAAATAACCAGAATGCATGAAGCTTTGGTCCATTTTAGAACAAAACCTGATTTTCAATATTACAGAAGATTAACATAGAAGGTATTGTGCAGGAATGTTCAATCGATTGATAATCACTTCATCGGTTGCTTCAGACCAAGGGTTGGAAGAAGGATGTATGCTACTCCGAATTACAAGAAGAACTCAGATTGGGTGCTGTCAGAGGGAGCTCTGAGGGTGTGGCTGTTATCTTACACCCCCATGCAGTTTACGGATGGTGTGAATTCTTAGGCTGATTAAATGGTGGGATCTCAGGTAATCGCAGTGCAGACAGGCCAGCAAGAGGAGGGTAAAGTAATCCAGAAAATGAACAGTAGTTCAAGAGCGCCATGAATAGTTGAGCTTGCCATGGCCACGATTCCAGTTTAGTGTTGCTGCTCGAATCCAGCCATAAAGGAAATTGCAGTGTGAGAGCATAAACATAAAACTTTAGTTTGACTATTTAACCAGATGCTTGTGGGTTATCGGGAGCCTGGGGCAGGAGCATTTAATGGGAGTATATGGCTCGAGAATACATGCCCATTTCAGAGAAGCAATGATGTTTAGATTTGGAACTCTTGTTTCTTTACCTCCAAAATTATATGTACTATTAAAACTTTGACAGCCTACAGGAAACAAGCTGATTTTTATGACTGGTACATAATCAGGGTGCAATTCTGTGCATATCTAATCAGACATCTACTCTAAGCCCCATTAATTTCAGTTGCACTTACTCTGAAGTTGTATAGGATTGGAAACTTAGGTTCCAGTGCTAGACACACTTACCTGTTGAAGTCTGTGGGACTGAGTCAACATTGTATAGGGTTGTACTGTTGGATGCTTTTGCGCTGA